AGAGAGCCACAGTTTGCTGAGACCAGAGAAGAGGCCAGAAGAGGCCAGCTGGGAAGGGGGTCTGGAGTCAGCTCGCCGGAGAGCAGAGAAGCCACGTCCTTCTCGGAAAGCTGAGCGCAGGTTCCCGGGGGGAGGAGCGCTTACCAGGATGTCCTTGTTGATCGCGGAGCCCACGTGAAGCCGAGAGGCAGAGACACGGACGGAGACACGAGGCTCAGTTGTGCCCGGAGCCAATGGCAGAGGCGGCCAGTGCTGGGCTCTGGTGGCGTGCCCACAATGTCACTGCAGATCCGGACGCTCTCCCTCTTCCTCGCCCAGCGCTGGCCACTTCTCCCCTCCGAGGCACAGGGCGACCTCACACACACCAAAAGGAGGTGCTCCTGCAGCGGCTGGCGGGGCTCAAAGGTTGAGCGTCAATTATGAACCGGGAGATCACGGTTCAGTTCCCGGCCAGGGCGCCTGCCCAGGTTTTGGGCTCGATCCCCGATAGGGGGCGTGCAGGAGGCAACCCATCAATGGTTCTCTCTCATCCTTGATGTTTCTGTCTCTCCCTCCCGCTCCCTTCTTCTCTGAAGTCAATAAAAACACCCTCAGAGGGTCCCAGGAGACTTCCCATCCGTGCCCATGGTCAGCATTGGGTCAATGCCCTCCCTCTGGTTGAAAATAGCTGGGATGCAAGGGCCTCACACCTGTAGCCTCTTTCTTGGGAGGGAGCTTTGCCTGTGGAGGAGGCAGCCAGCCCTCTCGGCTTCATGCCTCTCTCCCAGCCCCTCCCGCCCAGGCACGGCTCTCTCTCGGGAGTCACCAGGTGCCCAGATGTCCTGCAGCCACAGGCCTGCGCTCCCCTGGGCCAGGTCTCCGGTTGTTGGGGACAGACAAAGCACGTCTGCGTCTCTTCTGTCACCTTGCCTCTGATACTGTCATTGAGCAGCTCCTGGCTCCTTGTCACAGGGGGTTCCCTGTGGCCCCCTCTCCCAGGCTCCCCTCTCAGTGAGGACAGTGATGGGCTTTTGCACCAGATCATACAGTTTGTATCCAAGTTCTGCCCCGACTTGCATGGCCGTGGGAAGGTACCTCCTTTCTCTGTGCCTGAACGAAAGTCTCATCTTGTAACAAGCACCCATCTCATCAGTGCGCTCTGAGGAGTAAATGAGGGGATGCAGAATGGTTTGGGATGTCCAGTGAGTCTTTAACAAGCTTCGTTTTGTCAGCTATTATTGTTCCTCACTTTCTATCCAAGGAAATCTAAATTTCTTAAGTGACCCTTAAAGATCCTAACCAAAGGACTTGTATGCCTGCACATAAGCCTAACCAAGGACACAGACAAAAGGGTCATGCGTTGTGTTTTGTTGTCTTGTCTTTTTCTCCTTTAATTCAAAACAGGGTTTCTCAAACCTTCGCGCACGTGAGAATCCTCCTGAGAGCCTGTTCCAGCACTTTCCGGGCCGTCGCCAAAGACGTGGGGGCACTGGGTCAGAGTTTGTGTCACTAGGTGAGAGAGGAGCCGTGAATGGGCGTTTGTTTATTTGTTTCTGTTGTAATCCTCACCTGAGGGTATGGTTTTCATTGGGGGGGAGGGGGGGAGAGAAAGGAAAGAAGGAAGGAGAAAGGGGAGGAAGGGAGGGAGGGAAGAAGGTTGGTTGCCTCCCACCCTGGCTCAAGCCCGACCCTCTGGTGCACAGGATGACCCTGCAACCAAATGAGCCACATCGGCCAGGCGTGAACTGGCACCAGGAAATGCCAAAACCGCTGTTCCCAGGACCCACTTCTGCAGCGGCAGGTGGTGAAACACTTGCTGTTTCGCAGGTTCTGTTGCAACCGAGTGTGGCCACTGCAGCCGGCGGGCGCAGCCACAAGGACAGCGCAGACACAAAGGGTGTGCTGTGCTCCAGGGACACTGACTTTCAACACAGCCTCCCGGCCCGAGCGGCCCTCGGCCTGCGTGCGCCCTCAGCCTGTGTGCGCCAGCCTGACCCTGGTCAGGGCTCCGCGTCTCCTCTATTTGGGGGAGTGGAAGGGGTGGGAGGGAGGATATTTCCAAAGCACTACTGACATTTTTGAATTGTCCAGTTCCGTTCTCTAGTAGAATGCTTCACAGCCTGGGTTTGGTGGGTTATATGTTGGCAAGAATACCACAGAAGTGGCATTTTGTACTAAAGGCAAAAATTGTGCAAGGCTTTGAAATGGACCAGATATCCCAGTGCTGCTGGGTAACTCGAAAGGAAGGCTGGGCATTGTCTAGCGCGTCCTCTGGTTATCTAATTGGCTGCGGGCCTGTGCCTTCCATTGTCTGAGCTCTTTCACGGCTCTGTAATTTGTGGACTACTGATGGTATTGTCTCTCTCTCTCTTTTTTTTTTTTTTTTTTTTTAAAAAAAAAACAACATATATTTTATTGATTTTTTACAGAGAGGAAGGGAGAGGGATAGAGTTAGAAACATTGATGAGAGAGAAACATCGATCAGCAGCCTCCTGCACACCCCCTACCGAAGAGGTACCCGCAACCAAGGTACATGCCCTTGATGGGAATCGAACCTGGGACCCTTCAGCCCGGAAGCCCACACGCCATCCACTGAGCCAAACCAATTAGGGCTGGTATTGTCTCTTAATTCTCTTCTTTTTAAAAAATGCGAACGGTGTCCCTTAGACACACCGTTGGTGTTTGACCTGTGGATGTAGATCCAGCATCCTGACCGCGTTGGGTTCTCTCCGGAGTCTACCTTAAACCGGTTGTGACATGTTTCTGGTTCCTCCATTAATTAATGAGTTAAATAATGCCTTTGGCATGCTCACTTCACATCTGCATCTGAGTCATAATTATACTCCGGGCTTCGGTATTGACCGTTAGCAGTGTTTTTCATCACAGCCTTTGGAAAGCAGGAAGTGTTGGTTCTTTACTCATGCTGGGCACACTCATTTAAACCACTTGGTTCAGGAGGTTCTGGCAGAGCCTGCCCTGGTAAAGGTGTATTTTCTCTTCATTAGGGAAAAAGATATTTTGAGACACAGTGGATATTCCAGTTTGCAACAGTGTATCACCCGGTGGTTGAGTATCCACTGGAGATCTTGGCCTGAGTCCATGGTAACATTGGGATTGAAACACGGCAGAACTGGCCATTCCAAAACGTGCTACTTTGGCACCTGGGTTACTTTGCACCTGAGGGCAGTGGAGACCCAGGGGACTGAAGAAAACCCTTCGCCTCTCCCATAAGCGCCGGGCAGAATTTAGATAGAAGCCTGGCTTAGAACGAGAGCTGTTGCCACCGATGACCTTGTAATCTGAAAGACTTCCCTGCAGCGAGGGGCAAGCCTCTGGTTATCAAACTCGGCTCTTCCTGTGGTTCCGGGAATTACCGTCCTCCCCTGAGGCCGCTGGCTTAACTCGTCCCACTCCTGCACTTGGCCGGCACAGAAGCCTCCATCCCCTGACGCTTGGGTCTCCTCTATTTTTAGGGGCTTCCATCTGGCCGGAATGAAATGTTTTCCTCCCGTTGATCCATTTTAGGGCGATTTAATTAGGAGGCCAGCCAGAGAACCTAGAAGGGTCAAGGACACTTCCCTGCCTGGACAAATCCGTGCGGAGCCACGCCAACCCCTTCTCTCCTTCTTTCCTGGAAAGCAGGAAGTGCTGGTTCTTTACTCATGCTGGGCACACTCACTTAAACCACTGGGTGAAGATGGTTCTACCAGAGCCTGCCCTTGTAAAGGTGTATTTTCTCTTCCTTAGGAAAAAAGATACTCTGAGACAAAGTGGATATTCCAGTTTGCAACAATGTATCACCCGGTGGTTGAGTATCCACTGGAGATCTTGGCCTGAGTCAACCGTCACGTTGGGATGGAAACACATGACCCCGATGGGAGAACGCTCCACTCCAAAACGTGCCCCTTTGGCACCCGGGCTATTTCCACCGGCCGGGGGGCCGCCGGCGTGGGCGCGGACCCTGGCTGGTCCCCTTACCAGCTTCGGGACCTGAAAGTCACTCCATCTCTGTGCCTCCGTTTCCTCAGGTATAGAACCCGCCACAAAGACGCCTTTCTTACAGGGTCGCCTCAGGGTTCACGGGCTCAGTGGGAGCGCGCGTGTCCGGCACAGATGGCCCCTCAGCACATGCTCGCTGACGGAGTCTCGGTCATTGTGCGTGTTTCCATCCCAGCGTGGCCAGGCTCTGCGTCTGGGGTGCGAGTTACTTCCCTTTCCGGGCCCCCGCCCCACCTGCTGCGGGCTCCCCGGAGATGTCCGGATTCGGGCCGGAAATTGAGTTTCTGTGGGGCTTTGACATGGACCCAGTTCACCAGCGCTTGGGTAACTTGGATGGCAAGTTCAGGGGCGCCGTGCCCGGGCGGAGCGGCCCGGAGGCGGCGGCGGGGGCAGGTGCGTGGGGAGGAGGACGGCCCGCTTTCGCCGGGCGCCCCCGTGACCGGGCTCACCGACCCCCCGCGCCCCGGACGGAGGAGCTTTGTGCGCGGCGCCCGCCCGCCCGCCCGCGATGCCCCTTCCGCCCACGGGGGGTCCCTTTCCGGCGCTCCGGGCAGAAGTCGGGGGCCCGCGCGGGCTGACCCCGCCGACAGGACCCGAGGTGACGGCTGTGCAGGGCGTCCGGCCGGCACCCCGCCCTCCCCGGCCCGCCCGGCGGAGGGAGCGGCCGCCGGGGAAACTGAGGCACGCGGGTCCCGCCCGCACCTGCGCCCGCCACGCCGCTCCTCGCCCCGCGCGTGGGGCGCCCACGTGACCGGCCGGGCGGAGCCGGCGGGCGGGGATCACCTGAACAAGGGAGTCACGTGAGCGGGGCGGGGCGGGGGCGGGGCCGGCGGCCTCACGTGACGCGGTTCCGGGGCCGCCGCCGCCGCCGCCGAGCCCAGCCGAGCCGCGCGCCCCTCGGCGCTCACTCCGCTCCGCGCCTCCCGCGCTCCGGTCCGCTCCGCCTGGCGGCCCGTCCGAGCCCCCGGCGCGGCCCCCGGCCCCCGCGCGCCGCCCGCCCCGCGCCCCCCGCGCCCCGCGCCATGGGTGCCGCCGCCGGCCGGAGCGCCCACCCGGGGCCCGCGCCCGCCGGCCGCCCGCTGCGCTCGCTGCTCGCGCTGCAGCTGCTGCTGCTCGTCGGGGCCCCCGGCGCCGCGCGGGCCCAGGGCGCCGACTTCCCCGAGCTGTGCAGGTGGGTGCCGCCGGCCTGGGCGCGCCGCGGGGCGGGGAGGGCACACGGGCGGCGGGGAGGGTGCGGGGCCCCCGGGCGCCTCCCGTCCAGGCTGGGGTCCCCGCGCCCCGAGGGAAAGTTGCCCGCGGGGCGCGGAGGGGGACACGGGCGGGGGCCGGGGGCCGGGCCACCTGTGGCTGTCACCCCGGCTTTGTGTGCGGGCGGCGGGCGGGACGGCGCGGCGCGGGGGCCGCCCGGCACCTGGCCCGGCCGCCGGGAAAGTTGGCGGCGCAGGAGCCCGGGCGCGGCCGCTTTGTTCCCTCCGAGCGCCCGGGCCGCGCGCTCCCCGTGGGCCGCCCGCGCGCACGGACGGCGGGTCGGGGTTTTGATTTCATTTGCCGCCGGGCTGCCTCCATGTGGGTTTCCTTCTTACTTTTTCTCCTGGGGTCTCCCTCCCACGGAAGCCACTTTCTTTTCCTCTCCCCCCTTTCCCCGGTGGAGGAGCGGGTGCCCTGGCTCCCGGGATCTCGCCCCGCGCGCCTCCGAGCCCAACTTCCTGCCGAGTTGCTCCCGTGATGTCATTGTCTCGTGCGGACGGTTCCAGCGGAGCCGGTGCTCCGGGAGCCCGATGCTGTGACGCCGCCCGGGCCGCCGACGGCTCCCGCTCCCCGACGGCGAGGGGCCGCGCCGTCCGCGCTCAGCGATCCGGCCTCCCCGGGCGGCGAGGAGGACGGCACCAGCGCGCCCGCCCCCCGGACCCCCCCCCGCCCTCTCCAGCACAAAGGAAGCAGAGGGGGATTCGGGGGGACGGGTGGCCAGCCCCCCTGGGCGCTAGCGGGTTCCTCCCGGATGGAGGAGGGGGCCCCGGGAGCTGGCGGAGGGCTTGGTGGGGTCTTCCTCTCCCCGGCGCCCCCTCCCCCGGGCCAGAGCTCGGAGAGTGTTTTCCTAAGGAGGCTGCGCGCCTGGAAACTCTGGAGAGATCCCCTTTCTTCCCCCTCTCCGGAGGGGGAGGGGCCGGAGGGAGCGGTTCCTGGACTGAGTTTACGGCCCCGACCCCCACTCCCACCCCCACCCCCACCCCGCCGCCCAAGTACCGAGCCGAGCGCCCCAGAACGGCCGGGGTGGCCAGCCTTGTCTCCAGGAGGGCCGTCCAGCGGGGCTCGCCATGCCCAGCGGGTCTTGCTCTCGTTAGCAAATCGGAATGTGTGCCTCCATCGTGAAGGTTAACCTTGGCCTCCAGGGCGGCCCCATACGGCGTGGCTGGCTGCTGTGGGGGAGGGGGCTCACTCTCCCCTGCGCCTGGGGCTGCATTCCTTAACCCGTCTCCAGGTGGGACAGAAAGTGGCCTTTGTGCCTTTGAATACGTCTCCCCACAGGTAGAGGTGGGCATAAGGTGCCCCCAGAGGGTGCCAGCAGGGCCACAGGCCTGGTTAGCTGAGGCGGGTGTTTCTGTTTGAGAGGATCTCTGAAGTGGGTGTGTTTTGTTTCTCTTTGGAGGAAAAACCCCCTGCGAGCGCTCTGCCCGCTTCCCCCTTTGTCTCCAGAGCCATGTGCAACCTCCCCATCAGGACCCCAAGGGGGGTTCCCCCGTTTGTTGGTTTTAGAGGGTACCTTGGCCTGGTCCTTGTGAAGGCATTTTCTCGGGGGGGGGGGTGAGAGAGAGAAGAACCGTGGTACTTTTTTGAGATAACACCGGCTACAAGTTCCTGAACTCCAGCACACACTTCCTCGAAGCGGGAATGTGAGCTGCTCTGTTATTTTTATTTTTTTAAGTCCGGTGTGAAAAGTTCTACAAAACATCACCGAAGCAGGGTGGACGAAGCAGCTTTTCAGTCCGTCCCTGGTGCCCATTTGGCGGAAACGCAAACACTCTCCACGGGTCCGGCCCGAGTGTGAAAAGGCGCCTCGGAGGAGTTAGTGTGTCTTTGGGCTGCTTGTCCGTGGGGCGGCCCCGGTGGGCGCAGTCACACGCCACATGCTTTTCCGAGGGTATTTTCTATTGAAATGGCCTCATTCGTGGTGGTTTGGGGCCCAGGGCAGTCCCCAGACGCCCCTCCTCCGAGCCACAGGGCTGGCGTGCCCAGACACTCTCCAGGCCTCACTAGATGCCCCCATAGTAAATTCTCGTCGCCTCTAAGTTCGGCGGCTGCAGCCTCCGGGATCCCAGAGTCCCTGAGGGCCAGCGGGAGGGGACTGGGCCCTCGGGCTGGGGGACAAAGGTCTGGGGGACAAAGCTTCGGGGTCAGGAGTGGCCCTGACTGCTCCTGGGGTCACTCCTGGGGTGGGGGTGGTGGGCAGGGGGGCAGTTCCTGGCAGGGTCCATTGTTGGAAGGATTTCAGCGGCAGCTTGAGCTGCGCCCGTGCACACGGAGGGGACAGAGGGGCAGGACAGCCCCCGCACGGCCCCCACAGTGTGCTGGCTCCACGTGGCGCTCACTAAAATAAAGGCGCTGGTTCTTTGGGGCGATGGGGTCTAGTTTCTAGGTGTCAGGACTGCTGCCCGGCGGCCCTGGGGAAGAAGTTGGTGGCTCTGAGCTGCAGAGTCAGCTCTTTGCGGGTGGCGGCGGCTGCTAGGAGACCTTGTTCCCCAGGCGAGGCCAGCGAGAGCGCTGCACTGGCCCCACAGAGGTCCCGAGGCCCAGGACGGGGGGGGGGGGGGGGGGGGGCGGTGAGGGGAGAGAAAGCGAGCAGAGGCCCGGCAGCCCCTGCAGTGACCGCCCTGCCCCGGCGCTCTCCTCACCGCAGTGCGAGTGTCACTTTCCGAAAGTGTTATCTCCACACACAATAGGTGAGCGCCCACCCTTTGTCTGAGGTGCTAATATCCTTAATGAGCGAGGTCTTAGCAGTTTGTGCCGGTCACAGACCGATGCATCAGGCTGGCTTGATTTACGCTGTTAACCACTTTAAAAATGTATTCGGGACGAGTTTCCCCCCAATTGTTTGGGTATAAATCCTGGAAGTTTTTATTACATTGAGGACAAGAGGATAAGGAAGCCAGCTGGGAGTTGAGGTTGGTGTAGTTGCTGTCTCTAGATTATTTTTCCCCCTGCAAAAAAAAAAAAAAAAAAAAAAATTTCCCCCCTGGAGGAACAATGTTCATATGCTTAATTTGGGCCACATGTTAAACTTGGACCGCTTCCATGTGTGTGTGTGTACATTTCTTGCAACAATAAGTGTGTAGAAGTCCAAGATTGTTAATTACGGGCACATTAGACCGCATGCATTAATTCTTAGAACAACTTCCGGGCGAGTTCCCAGGCAATGGATTCCTGATTGGGCTCCACATCTTTTATCATGGTTCTGCAGAGGAATTTTTGAAGGATGGGGTTTGAGAAAAAGAACTCCGATGTTCTCATCTCTAGTTTGACCTTGGCACATACCACGGCATTGTGCCGGGCAGGGAGAATTCAACAGGGTTCCAGGCCTGGGACAGGGGCAGAGAGCAAGCAGCTCCTTGCTTTGGAGGCCCTGCCCGCGCGCGCCTCCATTTCACAGCTTGTCCCAGGAAGGGAGACTCCTTGGGGATGCCCCCCACTTGGTGGTGGATGGTGTGTGAAGTGGTGGGAGTTGAGACCCGGGCGGGCGACTCAGGGGCCTTTTGTTTTACTCACAGCTGGCTCGTGGCTGGTGGGGGACAGAGGCCTGAATGTATGCTAGGAGGGCCTCCTCACCTTTAGCCCTGGCACGTTATTCTCCTGGGGTTCTGAAGCATTTCTTAGCAGAGGGGAGAACTGGGAGGGGCTCGGGCTGGAATGGAGGCATCTGCAACGGAATGTCACACGGATCCCCAAAGATTGTGTTGGCCTTGGCCGTGACGGCCGTCCCTGGGAGGCAGCCGCATGAACACCCTCTTCCCCTCATTTTTGTTAATTTTAAATAATATGTCATCTTTAAATAATATGTCTTGATTTTGTCCTCAGTCCAAGAGTCACTTAGATGTCGCTAGTTTTTGGCTCTCGTGAATAAAAGCCACTGTGAACGTTTGAGCACCAGGTTTTGCACATGCATTCTTTCTTTTTCTTTTTCTTTTTTTCTGGGCGGAGAGGTTTGGAGGGAAGATACTTGGATGGTGAGTGAGCGTTTCACTTTGTGGACGCTGCCAGCCTGCGCTCGGAATTGGTTGTCCATTTTGTGTTCCCACCAGCAGCCAGTTCCATTTGCTCCTATCTTCCTTCTGCCAGCACTGGATGGAATCTGTCTTTCCAGCGTTAGTAAGCTCTCGGGCTTGCAGTGTCGCTGTGTGATTCTAATGCTGGCCCGTGAGGTGGAAGATGTGCTCTGTATTTATTGGGAATGTCTTTCATGTCTTTAGTAGTGTCTGTTAAAATCAATCTTTTGTCCCTCATCCCTTAAAATTTTTTTGGGGTCATCTTAGTTTTAAGAATTCTTTAAAAAAAATTTTTTTTTTCTTTTTAAAAAATATTTTTATTGAATTTAGAGAGGAAGGGAGAGAGAGATAGAAACATCAATGATGAGAGAGAATCAGTGATTGCCTCCTGCACGGCCTCTGCTGGGGATCAAACCCTGGACCCTTCAGGTCGACTCTCTGTCCACTGAGCCAAACAGACAGGGCTTAAGAATTCTTTGTGTATTCTCAGGTATATAGAATATGTATTATGAATATTTTTCCAGCCTTTGGCTTGCTCCTTTTAATTTTCTTAATATGTTCTTTGAAAAATAGATATTTTAAAAAATGTTGATGAACTTCCACTGATGTTTTAAAAATACATATTTAAAAATCTTTGCTTAGCTCCAGGTTTCTCAGCCTCAGCAGCATTACTATTTGGGCCAGGTAACTGTGTGGGATGCTGCAATCCCATACACACAGTTACCTAGCCCAAATAGCAGCGCTGCTGAGGCTGAGAAACGTTGAGCTAAGCAAAGATTTTTAAATATGTATTTTTAAAACATCTCCCCACCATATGCCAGGAGCACTGTCCCCCCAAACCCAGTGGTAACAAGCACACACGTCTTCCCATTTCAGATGCCTAAGAGGTGGAGGACAAAAATCACCTCCAATG